CATGTGTGGCTGTAGTACGTATGCTGCAGGGACTTCTGCAGGGACTAGGTTCACTCTTTTCTCTTGGCGAGAAAGACTGTCAGGAGATCTGTGTTCATGGTGACACAATTTTGTATATAGCATGCTTTTTTCTAGAAATCAAATATTTTGTTCTTAAGTCATTCTAAAGTTGCTTCCTGAGAGGATACAGCTCTTCTAGCTTAGCAACTAGTAGTGTTCTCAGGAGCTATTGCTGAGTCACAGACCTTTGGACCGGACTGAGCAGGTCTGATGTTGTGTTGTTGTTTTAGCATTAGTTGCTTGTTGCTAATTTCCTCAACAGAGAGAGGGAGAGATGGTCAACAAAGTGATATTTTGGAACATGGGCAAAATTGGATTTGCAGGAGGAGTAACTGATTGTCTTATACCATGAAGATACGAAAAGTCTGTGCAACGCTCAGGTTTCACACGAGGTTTTTTGCCTCTTCTTTCCCACACAGGTTGCCCAGCTGCCTATGAAACTTGACTCAGAAGTGATGGAAAATGGGGAAAACTTCTCAGTTGGAGAGAGACAGTTGCTGTGCATAGCTAGAGCTCTGCTGCGTCGTTGCAAGGTGAGTATAGTGATGAGAGGAACAGCTAGACTTGGCAAATGGATAGCATTAAGCAAACCTTTTTGTGCCAGATTCATTCTATCTGCCAGAGGAATCACACCATCAGTTATTGCAACCCACAGGTGGTGTAGGGTTAGAACAACTAGAAGGGCATCTGTTGCCAGCTGCAGAAAGGTATTGCTTGCTAATGGTGATAATAGTGTGTTGGACTGGCCTGATCATTTATTCAGAGTGTCCTGTTACTGGTGAGCATCAAATTCTTTCCTCCTTCCACCTTTTTGTAAATGTTAGCCAAGTACTTTCCTTCTCCGTGGTGTTCCACTAAAATGTAGCCTCCAAGTGAAATTTGGGGCCGTGCTGTGCCAGTGAAGTTTACGGGCTTTGCAGGAATGGTAGACAAATAATTACAGTGAGAAAGGACATTTGGATTGAGATTGACCAGGATTCTCATTTTAACATCCTTTTTTCTTAAACATTGCGTGCCATATTTTAAGGTTCCCTCTGAATCTGTTTTAAAGCCAAGACTACTCAGCAGAAGTTACCGCTCTCTCTGCAGTACCTGCACAAATCAAGTCTAGTTCAGCTTTGACAAGAAACTGCTCCAAATCAGTTTATATTTGAGTCTGAGAGGAATGGTAATTCTTTCCAGCATAAGAAAGCTAGTAAGCCTGGTCATTATTGACTCATTGCAGAAGGAACTATCACCACCAAGAATGCGTCAGGTTAGTTTACCATTAAAATTTGTGTTTGAGATTTAGCTGCTGAATGTAAAATTGAATGTAGTGGGAACTTGAGGCCCAGGTCAGACCCTAAACATCTCATGGCTGTAGGATGTGACCATAAAATGCAAGTGTGATCCATAGGGTAACTGTTGATGGCAATTGCATACAGAAAACTGAAATGGTGCTTGTGAAAACTACCTTTGTGACCACAGCTCTGTAGCGATTGCCAGTTGTGACAACTCTTGGTCATGGTAATTTTGCCCACTCTACATATTTTTTTGTTCAGGGAGGGAAAGAGTTACTATGGGTAACAGCCAGGATTATGTGCTGCTTTCAGATTTTGATACTGGATGAAGCAACAGCTGCTATGGACACAGAGACAGACTTACTGATTCAGGAGACCATCAGAGAAGCATTTGCAGACTGCACTATGTTAACAATAGCTCATCGCCTGCATACGGTATTGGGCTGCGATCGGATCATGGTGCTAACACAAGGACAGGTAAGCAGCAAGACTTTAGTGGCTGCAGTTCCTGTTGCAGTCTGGTGGTGCTGTGTGTGCAGGCTGAACTGAAGTAACAGCTGGTATTGCAGGGTGGAAAATCCACTGTGTTTATTTACATCTTTGGTAATAATACTTCAATAGAATCAGTTATTGCCTAACCGTGACAAGACCAAAGAGGGCAAAACTTCTTTAACACTCCAAGTAAATGCTATAGACTAACAGTCTCCCTTTAAAAAGTGTTTTTGAAACGTCCGTGGTAGGTTAATTCTCAGATGAGTAATAACGTAAGTATCTCTGATGGGGCTCAGTGGCAGTTTCCCATTACATTCATGAAGCCATGTGCTATCCAACAGGCACATGAGAGATACTTTACCCACTTTAAGGCTTCCATGTGGGAGCCATAAACAGTTAAATCAAATATAAGAACATTTGGCAAAGCTTTTAAAGGTAGAGAAGGCAAAAGCCCATAGCATCTGCCTCTACTTGCCAGAGCCACCAGAGATTGCTTTCTGATAGGTAGTTTCAGTGTTTGTCTGAGCTAGTCTGAAGCATCCCAAGTTACAGTATTTAGGCATAGATGCACATACTTTCAATGTCTGTTCTCTGATCTGAAGATTGCTGCCATGTTCTGGCTTCTTCACTGCTGTATCATAGAAACATAGAATTGTCTGGGTTGGAAGGGACCTTTAAGATCATCAAGTCCAACCATCAAGCTAAGCCAGATAAAACCTATCATTAAACCATGTCACTAAGCACTATGTCAACCCGGCTTTCAAATACCTCCCAAGGATGGTGCCTCAACCACTTCCCTGGGCAGCCCATTCCAATGCTTAATAACCCTTTCAGTGTAAAAATTTTTCCTAATATCCAATCTGAACCTTCCCTGGCGCGACTTGAGGCCGTTTCCTCTTGTCCCGTGGCCTGTTCCTTGGGAGAAGAGACCGACCCCCCCCTGCCTACACCCTCCTTTCAGGGAGCTGTAGAGAGCGAGAAAGTCTCCCCTCAGCCTCCTTTTCTCCAGGCTGAACACCCCCAGCTCCCTCAGCTGCTCCTCATCAGACTTATTCTCCAGACCTCTCTGAAGAATAAGAGTCATGAGTCCAAGGGTTGGGAATTCATTTTCTGCTGGATTTTACTGACTGACTTTACCTGCCTTGTTTGCTTTTAGGTAGTGGAATTCGACACGCCGTCTGCCCTTCTGGCCAATGAGAACTCGCGCTTCTATGCTATGTTTGCTGCTGCGGAGAACAAGGTTGCTGTCAAGGGCTAAAATTCAGGGCAAAGTCACTTTAATTTTGGAGAGCTACACTCTCTGCCTGTGGCAGGCCAGCTCTTCTTCCTCTTCCTCCTTCAAGCAGATTATTGCCTTTTCATCTTTTAATTTTCAGCACAATGTGTCAAGCCAGAGAGATTTTTAAAACTGTCAGAAGAATTCTTCATGTTTTTTTTTTAATTGTATTTATTCCATAATCATATTACTAATTTTTTGTTATTAAATGCACTCTACAAATGGCTCAGGGAGCCATAGTTATAAATGTATCAGAGGCCTATAATGAAGCTTTATACATGTAGCTATATCTATACATAATTCTGTATATAGCCTATATTTACAGTGGAAATGTAAGCTGTTTATTTTATATTAAAATAAGCACTGTATTAATAACAGTGCATATTCTTTTCTATCATTTTTGTACAGTTTATGGTACCAGAGATCTGGCTTTGTTATTGGACTGTATCAGACACCATTTTGTCTTTTACAGTCGGTCTTTTCCTAGTGCCAGATTTTCTGCGTGTCTGAGTGGAAGTGAAGCTTTGCAATAGTGTCCTTTATTGTCACATCTTTGTTGTCTAGCGCAGGGGAGAAGAGCTCTGTGGTGTAACTCTATTGCATTGTAATTTATCAAAGCTGTTAGGAGCATTGCTAATGTTCACCACGGCAGCGGCTGCTGCTTCCCATGATGCTTTCCCAAAGCAGGGTTTTTAGTGATCTCCTGAGCGGAGAACCACTTCTGGGTCACTATAAGGCCTCATATTTTCTCAGTGTTCTGATACAGTATTTCTTACTGTTATCAGCAGGGTTTATTTTAATGCAAGCAAGCCCAAGCTCTTCCTGCTTCGCTGATCTAACACAACCAAAATCTAACTGTTCATGGAACGATCTATGACAGATCAATCAAAAGGTTCAAATAATACCCTGTATGCTAGCAGGAAAGCCTTTTCAGAGTTGCTTCAGCTGACTGTCTCCTTTATCTTGAAGCTGCTAACACTCCTCAGTGGCTTTCATCAGCATGGGTCACACTAACTCTTTGTTCTGCTCACTTATACTAAGGTTAATCAACACCAATATTTCCTGTTTCTTTATTGCGCACTTGTTAAGGAAACAGTCCCCCACCCGACGTCTTCTGGAACTTTAAACAGGTTCCTGTTGATCAGGATGTAACACTGGTGTAGGACATCATTTTCTTACTGTAAAGAGACCTACCTCAGGTTACTGGGTCCCTCGTAGCGCGTTGCCGTGGTCACTGTTCACCATCCCCATCCCACGGGGCCGGTGCCCAGGTGGGCACGGTCGCTCCTCTAATAGCCGTGACTTACTGAATGGTCAGCGTTGCATGTCTTTGTCAACTTGGACATTTTGTAGCCTTAGCATGTTTGCAAAATGTCTCATGGAGGCAGATATATGAAAAGTAAATAAAACTATTTTGGGTTTTGTAAATTTTATTGGCTTAAGTGGTTTGTTTTGGGCATGTAAATCACTTCTCACTTTTTTGAGCCCTGGGGGACAGTTTTTGCAGGCTGCTTTGGGTTTGTTTTTTTTTTTTTTCTTGTCTATGCACCATGGCCTGATCTTTCTTCCTTCAGAGTGGAAGTGTTTCTTTAAAAGTGTAGTGGGTAATTTTTGTGCCCTTCAGCATGGGGATAGCTTGCAATATATGTATGTTTGTGTTGACTAGTGCAGGAAGTAATAATTTATAGTGCAAGTATTCAACTCAAGTAGCAAGGGGGGAGGTCAGATGGAATACAGATCTTTCTTAGGCTCAAATTTTTCCACTTTCTTTACTGGCAAGTGTTACTGTTTATAATGTGACATGACTGCAAAGTCACAGCAACAAGCATTTCTACCTACCAATACCACAGGCAAATCATGGCGTTAACAGAGCTTAGACTGTAGCTTGAAGATAGTAGCACATAAAGCATCATTTATTGTGGTTGTTCTTTAGTAAGTCTTTCCCAAGCAAGCATTAACTAGCACAGACCTTACCCAGCTCACAGGCCTGCACCCACGCTGTCAGGTACTGGCCGTCATTTTGCTCAGCGTGACTCAGCTGGAGCAGCGGAGCATCTGCATGTCGTGGGTCAGGAAGTGACAGGTCTCTCTCCAAAGAACACCCAGCCAAGTGGGGGGTTCTTTTTTGGTCAGAAACTTGAGGACAAAAAGAAACTGGGGAGAAGCACGAGGGAGCCAGGGTGATAGGCTAAAGAGGTATGAATGCCCTGCTTCCTACCCAGAAGTAGAGCTGGATAGAATGTGAGGATGAAGACTGAATACCTTAAGGGGAGAACATGAAATGCATCTGTGTAAGACTCTGTTTAACACAGTTCAATCAATGGTCACGTGCAGCTCTGTCAAGGGCAGGATTGTCTTGGGCCCTGCAGACCTGAGTTTGCCCCACAAACTTCAGTATTTCCTGTGAAGAAAAAGGGCTAATGAACCTAGTTTTTAAGTGCCTTTGGGGTCAGAGCGTGGCTTTATTTGGCAGCTAAGGCTGAGCTAATGGCAGTTTGGGCAAAAAGGGAGCCATCCTGATCTTGTCCTCCTTCTTCTTCCAGGCTGGGAGTTCCTTCCACTGTACCGATGCCAGCAGTGGTTCTTGCCTGGTCCAGCAGTGACCCGGTTCAGAATGCTAACTTGCAGAATGTTCACCCTCCAAAAGCAGGAATGCTGTACCAAGGAGACAGGAAGGCACATCTGGAAGGGAGGTGAATGGGGCTGCTCTTCTCAGTAGGTGCGAACTGTAACACTAGTGTAGGTGTGCGAGGAAACGCGCTTGGGATCCATTGCACCAAACTGCCGCTTCCCAGTCCCGCTCTCCTGGAAAGGTGAGCACTTCCCTGCTGCTTCAGTAGGCTGAAATAGCCCAACAAGGTGGCGAACGGTCAGCTGGAGGCAGCAGGGATTAGCTCAACCGTCACATTAAACCTTAGCACCAGCATTGTTACTTTGGCATTAAGGAGTCAGACTGCCAGAGGGAAATGTTCTTTCTGCTGTAATCACTTATCTGCTTCATTTGGCACTTGTCTCACAGACGGAACAGAAGTATTGCTTCTCAAGTAGGTAGCAGTAATTCTGTTACTGGCTTTCGTCCTGAACCACAGGAGCAAGCTGCAGCCTGGCCCAGGGCCCTGTCACTGGAGTGGAAGGAAGATACATCAATATTTACAAACGAGACTGAAATATCTCTATCTTTGAAGCATTCTACGGGAGGCTGCTGCTGCTGGAAATTTTCAGAAATCGGATCCTGCTTTAGAATTTAGTGAAATACCCCAGAGAAGACTTCATCCTGTGAGGAGTAGGATAAAACTGTGGGATTGCAACAGAGGTTTTCCCTAAAGAGAGCCTACCCAAAATAGCATGGAGATAATGCAACCTGCGTAGTGTATAGCAAAGGCTTTGGCCCAAGACCAAGAGCTGTACAACTGGAGAGAGATTTATCTGGGATATTCGGGTTGCTGTGTTACCCTCAGGAATTTCAGTTGCATCAGTTTTGCTTATTCTGTCCAAATGCAGAGCGCGCAGCTGATCTTAATTCATTGCCATAAGCTTAGAGACTCTTAGAGAGAACATGTTTCCTGGTCATCATATCTACCTGATGAGTGGAAACATTGCACTTGCTTGGGACTTCAATCGAAATGCAGGTAGGATTCTTCTAAAATCACCCAGTAGAGTTAACGTGCAGTTAGATCGATGTAATTAAGTCCAACGTCAGGCCCTGAAGTTTTGCTGAGGAGACTCAATCGTTACCTGCGGTGAAGATCCCGAGATTGCTGGGGCTGTGTTCTGCATGCTACCCCTAGAGGAAAGCCAGAGGGAGATCAAGCAGTCTTAGAACAATGGTGGGAAGAAAGTTTGAGAAAGCGGACTTATTTCAAAAGGCAAATGGTATGAGTGAGAGATGGTATCAGAAAGAGAGGATAAATGCAGAAAATCTGAGTTATAGGAGGAGGATGTGGAGAGAAAAGGTGGCAGGACAAAAAGTTTCCCTCAGACGGGGATTGAGCAAAGACAAAATTACTTCTGGAAGGTGATTCAAAAGAACATGCTGAGAAGATGCAGGGTGGCTGTAATGCCCTCCTCAACCAAAGAGCTTTTGTGAATGCTGCCTTGTCATTTTTTTACTGTAACTGCAGCGTGTTTTACTACATATAAGTACTCACACAAAGGTTTTCTTTATAGTCCCAGCTTCAGGTTGGTCTAGGATAATACTGTGACTTGTTTTACCCTGGGTTCAGCTGGAAACAGCAGCTGCATTGTGCTGGGGACATAGCTTCTGCCTCGAGCGACGACAGAGTGGAAGCTTACTTGGAACTTGGTGCAGATGCTGCTGTGGCGGGTGTCAGGCTTGGGAGGCTTTTAGAATGTACCACTATGGGTTCATTAAACCCGCAACTGTGTAATAAAAAATCCTGTGTCATCTAAAAGACGTGCCTTGGAGACTCACCGAGTGCCTGAGGTAGGCAAAGGTCTACAGCGACAATAAGTGACACCAGTGTCACACACGGGGCAGGGGTTTGCTCCGCGCTGCTCCCGGGCTGAGGAGTTCCAATCGGTCGGTCCCGCACCCTGCTGCCTTCCCGCCTACCGTCTCCTGCCGGTGCCCTGCAGAAAAACAAGCGGCTGGACAAAGATGGTCATTTTGTGGTTTCTGTCCGTTCCGTTGGAGGAAACCGGCTGGGGGCGGTGTGTGACCGGCCGGGCTGGGGGCGCGGAGCGCTTTCTGTCCGAGCAGGAGCCGGTTTGAGGCGAGGGCTGGGGGGGTGAGACGCGGGGTGCCCGGGCCGCTGGCGGAGGGAGGCACTGGGGGGGGCGGGGCGGACGAAGCAGAAACAGGCCCCGGCGGGATGCGAATCCTCGCGGGGCGCGGCGGGTCTGGGGGTGTTTCCGCTGGAGCCGCGGAAGGTGACAACGGATCGTTGCGGCAGGGGCGGGGCGGGGCGCGGCGGCGGTGCCAA